TGAAACCTATTTCACAGAGTTGTTTTAAGAATAAAATCCTATCTTCCATGCAGTTAGTACAGAGCCTAGCACCAAATAAGTATTTAATACATGGTACCAGGCTATGATCATTTATTTTACTAATATAAGGAAAAGTATATTCTCCCCTTTCTTCCATCCAGGAGTAGCTATGTTAGCAAATGCCAAGTAATAAACAAACAAACAAACAAACAAACAAAAAACAACCTCCAGTTTCATTTTGACTGTGTGAATAAAAATCTGACAATGTACACACATTAAAAAAACCCCTCTTGTTTTATAACTAGGGTACCCAAATGCCTACTTCTGGGATTACAGAATATACAGACTATGCTAACAACTACTAACTTAACCAGACTTTATCTAAAATCCTTAGATTTGTGAACAAACAAATTATTTCATAAGCTTTTAAATTCCCAAACCCAGTTAATTCCAACAAACTTTCACATCCCTAACATTTTGGTTCCTCCTGGAAAAATGCTGGTCTCTTCTGTAGTCATACACTCTTTCTTGAAGTCTTTTGTTTCTTTGAGAGAGGATCTGGCTCTGTTGCCCAGGCAGGAGTGCAGTGGTGCAATCTCAGTTCACTGTAACCTCTGTATCCTGGGCTCAAGCCAACCTCCTACCTTAGCCTCCCAAGTAGCTGGGACTACAGGTACATGCCACCATGCCTAGCTAGTTTTTGTATTTTTTTTTATTATTATTTGTAGAGATGGGGTTTCACCATGTTGTCCAGGCTGGTTTCAAACTCCTGGGCGCAAGCTACTTGTCTGCCTCAGCCTCTCAAAGGGCCAGGATTACAGGCATGAGCCACTGCGCCTGGCTACCTTCCTTGGAAGTCTTATCCTCATATTTATCTGTTTTATTTCCCCCACTGACCTAGCTGATCATTGCCCCTCTTTCCTAGTCTTTTTTGATAGATTCTTAAACATGTAACTTCCCTATGTGATCAGATAATGTTACCACTACCCTTATGGGATATTTGGCTCTTCCTTGAGGGCATTTCTCTATAGTTAATTATCCTTTACCTCAGTATTATTAGTATTCTCCAGGCTTCTCAATATTGTTTCCAAGCAGTAGTCCTTAAATGTCCATTCAGCTGCCTGCTGCAGGTTGATAGCTCCATTCATTGAAATATTTTGAATCTGGCTCATACTCTAGCTGACAGTATAAGCCAGACATGAGCTTGAATGGACAGTCTAAGTTGTTGGATAGCTTTTCTTGGTTCCCTGACATTCTAGATTTCATGGCCACACTATAGTCCTTTGTCATCATCTGCAACTGTTTTATCACTGAAATTTTAAACTCCAGTATTAAACTCTGACTGTGTCTTTAATCCTTCCAGCTTTTTCATTCATTTATACTCATGCATAGATCCGTTTTTGACTCTCATTATGATCTTCAGTCCCTTAATACCTTCATTTTCTCCCAGTCTTAAATCTCTCATTACTGACAATATGAACAACCTTTTACAAGTCTGACTCTTTTATATACACTAGTTCATCCTCATTGCAGACAAATGAATCTGACTCAAAGTTACCATTTCTCTGGCTTGTTACCCACCCCCCACCACCGCCACCACCCCACAGAGTAGTCAAGCAATGCCTGTGTTTAACAACCACATGTTTATGCATATTAGCATCTTTTATTTGTCCTTAGTCAACTTCCTCTCCTATTTTTCTCAATGACTTTCCCAAACTTGTACTTGCCTCAAAACGCTCACCAGTCACTGTCCTGTCCTACTCAAACTCCCTAAGGAGACTATCCTGTCTTCCAATTTAAAAAGAAAATTGAGATTACCAGGCTGCATCTTCTGCTTTCTGCTTTCTATCTCCACCTGAAAACATCTGTATCTACTCTCATCTAGTTTCTTCCAAACTTCAGAGGTATCCTTGTCATACCATTAGAGGAACTTGCTTATTAATCTTTTCTTATCTCCAGTATTTGCAATATGTCCTCTAATGTTCCCTCAGTCTATACAAATGTTTTATATCTTAAAAAAATTTCTTGAAAATGGAGACTACTTTGGCTTTCTTTACTTCATCTCCCACCACTCAGGCCTGAATCTACACAGTTTGTTTCATGACCTATAACTCTACTTAAACTAATCTTGTTAAGGCAAACAAAGCATCCTACCTGCCAAACCCAATGAACATTTTTCAGTTCATTTCTTACAAACCTTATCTGTTGCACCTGACAATTTCCCCTCAATTTGGAAAATATTTACTCCTTTGCACTCTTGTTTCTTTTGTCATATCTTCCTAGTCACTCTCCCTTGGTTTATGCCTATATTATTCTACTCCACCATTTGATACTTTATGGGGAGCCTGTTCTTGGTTATTCTAAAATATGTTTAATTGAATATCATATAGGTCAGCAAAATATAAATGTGTAGAAAAATAGGTTGGTTGTTTCTAGGAAATAAAAGCTGTACTTTTAGAAAGATTTCAGTAAGTGCTTTCAAAAAGCAGTTGACAAATTAGGCAATGGCAATAAGACTATAAAAGGAAAAAAAGAACCTAAAATAATGGGAGAAGGTACCTGCTTCTCAATGGGACTGCCATTGGCATTTGGGGCCAGAAGACTCTTCACTGTCTAGGACTGTCCTACCATTGTAGGATGTTTATAATCTCTGAGCTCTACATAGTAAGTGTCATAGTGCTACGCCCTGTATCCTGTTGCTGACAAATAAAAAACACCTCTACAGATTTCTAGGGAGGCAGTACCACCTGTGCTTGAGAATGAATGATACATTTCTTTACAAGTATCTTAACTTCTTGCCTACTTTTGAAGCAGCAAACTATAAAAAATAAAAAATAGATAATGCATTTCAGATGTGGTTTACACAAGCAAGACTGAACAGCAATAAACAGACATATAAACAGGTAATTTAAAAAGTGATAAATTTATATTTATGTAAAATGTTAGAGGTATTTACATATTTGTTTTTATTTCCTGCTGCTATGATCAACCCGGGTCTACTATACTAATCTTTTAATCATACTTTCTGAGAACTATCATAATTATTTGAGACATTTATCCCACAGATAATCTCAAGGCTTAGTGTCCTTGTAGTTTTTAAATATTCTGACGTTACTAACTTAAAAAAATTCTAATAAAAACTCATTATCGAAATAGCTCTTTTTCTATTAATTTCTTTTAAGTTAATTTTGCTAAGGAAATTATGCCACAGAAAGAGACCTATGTTATTTAATAATATATTCATCCTTAATTTGAAACTTTAGTAAATAATATATCCATTATTAAAATATACTGAGAATAAGATCTTTTTCTATCAAGTTTTGAAATTCTTTGTATTGTACAATCTGAACAACTATTTTCACAACGAGACTATTCTTTTGTAAATAACTGAAAAATACCCATATTTTGAGGCATTAAAAATATTTCAAATGGTCTTCTTGACCTTTCTCTTACCTCTATACAAGCAATACAAAAATTCTGGCCCCCAAATAAAAGAGAAGCTAGTTTGTAAATGCAATTTCTATTAGAAAGACATGTAAGTTGAAAAGGACTTCATCTTTAATAGTTGTAGAGATGTAAATTTAACACAGAAGGGAAATATTACTAAATTTTTCCACAGGAGACAAATCAGAAATTGTTTATTAACTAAATCACTAAAATCAATTATCTAAATAATAAAGCAAAAATCACTAAATGTGGAAGGATTGACAAAACTATTTGCTGAGTTGGCTTCTCTAAAAGGATTCTAATTACTGCAGATGCTTCCATTGTTGTCTTAAATAAAATAACAATGAGGAGACTGCATCAGCAAAAATTCTACTTCCAGAAAATGAATTTAATTGCTTTCCTCAAAGTCTTAGGTCAAAAGAAGTCCAAGTGTAGAGACTGATATTAGTAGACAGACTGGGAGATCCATTCCAGATTTTGAAGTAAATGAAGCATTTGCAGGTTCTTAATTCTTGACTAAAGAAATGAGGCAGGTAAGTTAGCAATGATACTTAAGTTAGCATGGTTGAAAGAAAGTAAACAAAGCAGAAATAAATATAAAAAAATTTAAAAATAGAAAAGATTTCATTGCACTCACTTCTTGCATGCAAGTACATTCTTCAGTTTTCATTTATGGGATTGATATGTATAGTTATATATGCAATTTTGCTACTTCAGCAAGCTTCCCTTGAGCCAGTTTTAGTTTTGTTTGGAAGTATGTGACTTGTTCTCTCAGCACCCTTTTAACGTGCCCTTCTGATGGACATTTTTGCCGAGTACTCTCTTATCACAAGTTCTTGTATGAACATCTTTTTGTCAAATCACTCTTAGTAAAACACTCTTAGTAAAACTCTTCAATGAATTGGAGTGTATTATCAATCCAGGCTAATTCTCTTGGTCTATAAACAACTTAGAAAATAGCAAATGTTATTATTATAGCTGTTAGTAAAGCTTTAGGAATTGCTATATTTAACTGAAGAATATTTACAGTATAAAATCACAAATTTATATTATATAATTATGCATGCTTAATTTTACCTTTTCATTCCATTAATCATAATAATTATTGTTTAAATCAAATTTTCACCCATGAGCAGAAATTCTGAGACCAATTAAATCTTTAAAGTAAATGTAATAAACACAAAAAAACTTCACAGATAGTTTGCATTGCTTTTACCTTTTCGCCTAGTGTGTGGAAAAGGAGGAAAGAATAAGCATGTATATACTTTTTTAAAAATATACTTTCTCCAAACTCCTAAATCTACTACTAACCACCTGTATCTTCATGGTATTTTTGTTAGTAATCAGATGCATATCTGTTATTTGTCTAAGGCAGGGAAGAAAAGTGAATTTTTAGTGCCAACTCAGGAATTTCTGTAACAACCAGATGTTAGCTTAAGGCTAAAGGACTATGCAATTGGGCCCCTGAAATCAGGAAACTATGTTATATTGCCCAAAGAGGCCATGATTCCAGTATGAATAATGCAAAACATGTCATCTTTTAGAGTACTTACGGTAGCCACATTTCTTACAGCCTGCTCTGACACTGTCCTTGTTGCAACCTGAAATACAATTGGATAGCATTTTAGGAAGTAAATAAATATGCAAAACCTAAAAACTTTATTGCATAAAAAAAATTTTCATACAATTTGTTGTAGCACTCCCTTCTTTTTCTTTCTTTCTTTTCTTTTTTTTTTTTTTTTTTTTTTTCCTCCCTTTCTTTTCTTCTTTTCTTTTCTTTTTTGTTGTTGAGACAAAGTCTCACTGTTGCCAAGGTTAGAGTGCATTGACATGATCACAGCTCACTACAGCCTCCAACTCCTGGCTCAAGTGATCCTCCTATCTTAGCCTCCCAGTTAGCTGAGATTACAGGCATGTGCCACCATATTTGGCTAACTTAAAAATTTTTTTTTAGAGATGAGGTTGTGCTTTGTTGCCCAGGCTGGTCTCAAACGTCTGGCCTCAAGCGATCCTCCTCTGGCCTCTCAAGGTACTGGGATTATAGGTAAGAGCCACCGCACCCAGCAGAATTTATTTCTTTAAAAAACAGCAACAACAAAAAAGTCATCCCTGACCCAGCTTAATGACCTACTCAATTTTTCTGACTCTTATAAATCAACAGAAAGGCCAATTCACTCAAATTATTTGACAAATACAACAATAACATTTTTTTTCTAATTCAATATAATTAAAAAAGAAGACACACAAGGCCAACAAACATAAAAATATGCTCCACATCATGCATCATCAGAGAAATGCAAATCAAAACCACAATGAGATACCATCTCACACCAGTGAGAATAGTTATTATTAAAAAGTCAAAGAACAACAGATATTGGTGAGGCTGTAGAGAAAAGGTAATGCTTATAGACTGTTGGTAGGAATGTAAATTAGTTCAGCCACTGTGGAAAGCAATTTGGAGATTGCTTAAAGAACTTAAAACAGAACTATCATTTGACCCAGCAATCTCATTACTGGGTCAAATGATAGTTCCAAAAATAATAATCATCATCATCATTTCACCAAAAAGAAGCATACCCACATCTTCATTGCAGCACTATTCACAATAGGAAAGACATGGAATCAACTGAGGTACCCATAAACGGTGGATTAGATAAAGAAAATGCAGTACATATATACTTTGGAATACCATGCAGCCGTAAAAAGGAGCAAAATTACGTCTTTTGCAGCAACAAGAATGCAGTTGGTGGCCATTATCCTAAGTGAATTAACACAGGAACAGAAAACCAAATACCCATGTTCTCATTTATAAGTAGGAGCTGAAATATTGGGTACTTATGGACATAAAGATGACAATAGCAGATATTGGGGACCATTGGGAGGGGAGGAAGGACAAGAGTTGAAAAACTGTTGGGTACTATGCTCAGTACCTGGGTGATGGGATCATTTGTACCCCAAACCTCACCATCACGCAATATATCCAGGTAACAAACCTGCACATGTATCCACTGTATCTAAAAGTTGAAAAATAAAAGAAATTTAATAAACAGTTAAGAGTTTAAACATTCCAGGAATTTTACAACATTGAGGAAGAAATTCCAGGTTACTCTGTCCTGTCCCTCAAAAATAATTAACTTATTTTATATATATATATATATACATACATACATACATAATAGAGAGAGAGACATTAAAGTTAACAAATGTTTTCCTGATTCCCATTAGAAGGAAAAAAATCTATTTTCTTATAAGAATTGGTGAAATTCCAGATAATTTACTGTAATTGCTGGGTATTATAAGAAATATTTAAATTCAACACTCAAATTTTGGCAAGAGAAAACAAACTAGTCATATATCCACCCAGTTCTGATAAATAATTACAAATACAGTAACCCTGTATAATTAGTAGTACATGCAGGCAATGCTGAAGATATAAATACCACAGACAAATTAAAACTGATTTCTTTTTATTGTGATAAAATATAAATAACATAAAATTTACCATCTTAACCATTTAAAAGTGCATAATTAAGGTGTATTAAGTACATTCACGATGTTATACAGCGATCATCACTATTCATTTCTAACTCTTTCATCATCCCAAACAGTTAATTGTATTCATTAAACAACTGACTATTCCCTCTTCCATCTAGCCCCTGTAATCTCTATTGTACTTTCTGTCTCTATGAGTTTGTCTACTCTAGTTACTTCACATATAGGGAAATCACACAATATTTGTCTTTTGGGCCTGGCTTATTTTACTTAGCAGAATGTTTTCAAAGTTCATTTCTTTTTATGGCCGAATAATATTCCATTGTAAGCATATATAGTTAAAGTGGATTTTATCCTCCAATAGTGGTTTCAATCAACCAATGAAAGGCCCTGTATACTATTATTCCATTTTCTTTGCTAAAGGGCATATAATTCCCAAAGCCTTGAAATGGAGATATAATCCTAACTAAATAATACATTTAAATACAGAGTCCAAATGTAAAACATTACTAACTTTAAAATATAATGTTAAAACTATTTCTTTGATGTTATGAAGTTAAAACATTAGTTATTTTCCCCTTAAATTCTAATATTGTTTTAAAGTATACATTATTGAGGTGGGGCTTCGTATTTATGCCTGTAATCCCAGCAGTTTAGGAAGAATCCTTGAGGCCAATAATTTGGGACCAGTCTGGGCAACATAGCGAGATCACAGCTCTACAAATTCTTTTTTTTTAATTAGCTGGTCATGGCATGTGCTTATAGTCCTAGCTACCTGGGAGGCTAAGATAGGAGGATCACTCAAGTCCAGGAGTTTGTGGTTACAGTGGGCTATGACTGTACCACTGCACTCCAGCCTAGGTGACAGAGTGAGACCCTGTTTCTAATTATTCTAGTAACAGTACAGTCTATTCTGCTATAACACTTGTTTTAAAAATGCAAATAACGTTCTAATGTAACTGATACATTAGGGAACAATTTGAGTATAATGTGACTTTAATGCACATAAAATGCTAACTAAATCCAGAATATTGCATACAGCTAATCTGAACCATCCAGGAGTATATAAACTAGACAAGCATATATATCGCAAAACATTTCTAGTGACTTCGGTTCACTGCAAATGTTGCAAACAACTTCCATCCACATCTGGTGTTAAAACTTTTCATGGATTTCTTATTGCCCTCTTACTGCCATTTCATAATAACTCATGAATTGCAACTCTTCTGAAGCTCACTTGAGCAGCAAACTCCAGGTTTTGTAAATGTACAATGTCAGACTTACTGTAATATTTATGTAGTTTTAAACCAATTAACGTGTAAAATTGTGCTATTGTTTCTATTAGGTTCCTATCTTTTTTTTTTTTTTTTGAGACTGAGCCTGGCTCTATTGCCCAGGCTGGAGTGCAATGGCGCCATCTCATCTCATTTCAACCTCTGCCACCAGGGTTTAAGTGACTCTGGTGCCTCAGCCTCCCGAGTAGCTGGGATTACAGGCACCCACCACCACGCCTGGCTAATTTTTGTATTTTTAGTAGAGACGGGGTTTCAACATGTTGGCTCCTATCTTTTTTTAATGTGTCATTGAAGCTTTTTAGCATTGTGCTCTAATCCCATTGCTTCCCTATAAACCCTGTCATAGTTAAAAATATGTTTTATTGCAGCAGAATTGACTATAAAATCTGAGGGTCTTTCATTATGAAAACAACTGCATGTTGAAAAAAAGCTCAGAGAATTGGGGTTAGTGTTAAATCTGTTTCCATAGAAACTGCAGATGCTAAAAAATATGGAACAAAATTATGCTAAATGCATCATTACTATTCCTATAACAGAATAAAAATGTTGAAATAGATCTGAAATAATCGTATCTCAGCATGTATTCGAATTGAACTCATGACAAAAGGCACTGATAAAACTCATCATTCAAGTATCTCAGAGTTTTGGAATAAACTATGAAACTTTTTTCTTGGCAGGTCATTTTCTGTAATAAGTTGAAACTTTTACATGAAAGGGAAATATAACCAGAACCCTAAATAAAGTACTTTATATCAGCTATTTCCTCACCAGTCTTTGGTTAAATTATGATTTCAGCTTCATTAGTCTTTAATTTTCATGACTGCTTGGGCAACTGAATGCTTCTACCCAAGAGTTTTAATTTGAGGCAACTGACTTAAAGGATCTGAGACAAGTGACACAATGAAGTGGGGACAGTTAATTCACTCTGCTGTCAGAATCCAGTTTCCAGGGGCACTGATGTCACTGGCAGCAGCAGCCCTAACACGGTCTGGCCTTGTGCAGGATCTTGGATATGGGTTCCCTGGGTCATTTCTATTTTCTGACCCTTATTATGCAGGTTTTGCTTAGATTCAGTGAGCTACCTGATATCTTTCCTTTTCTGCCTAAATTAACTAGTCAGTTTCTATGGTTTGGAATAAGAACCCTGGCCTATACAATGGTACTCGGAATCCATGTCAAACTGACTACAGTAGGGCTATATTGTGAGGCCCTACTCAGCTAAGTTACCTACTTCCCTGCCTTAGGCTCCTGCGCAGCTCTTCACTCCATTTCTTTCTGAAGTTTGCTAAGGCCCAGGGTGATACAGTGTGCCTATCTCAAAATTTTCCTTTCTAATCATGACCTGCAATCCAAAAGGCATTAAATAAAAACTTAACAAATGTGACATTAGAAAAAAACTGGCAAAAACCACCAAAAACAAATTCAAAAGACACATGGAAACTTAAGAAAAAATATTTGCACCTCATGGGAACAAAAAAGGGCAATTATCCCTATGTATACAGCTTAGCAAATCATTAAGAAAAAGACTAGTAACCAATAGGAAAAAAATGGGGAAAGGAAGTTCACAGAAAAGGAAATAGAAATGACTCTGAAACATGTCGAGATATGCTCAGTCTTATTTAAAACAACAGGTAAAATGTACATTAAAAACTATACTGGGATTCCATTTTCACTTATCAGAGTAGCAGAGATTGAAAAGGTTGAAGGAAGGGTAGGGAGGCATACTCTCATACATTGCGGGTAGGAGCATAAATTAGTACTATCTCTATGGAAGGTACGCTGACAAAACCTGTCCGAATTACAAATGTACACAA